ATATATTAAAAATAAATTGTGAACATACATATTTGATATTGCAAAGGCACTGATAATTTTACTTAGATTTGTAAAATTTCGGTCCAGTCGGCACGTCACGATCCTGCCAGCTTTCCGCTTTGTCAATCCGCGATCGACATTCGGCGGCCGATAGCCCACGCTCCGCTCAGTGCGCGAGCCGCGAGCATCTCTCTGTGAACACGACACCATCACAGGCGCGCCACTCGACAGAATCTCCCTCCATTGTCCCGTGCTCTCTCCGCGGTCCTCCGCTGCTCTACCCGCGGTCCTCTGCGGACCATTGAGCCACCGAGTCGCGTGCCGGATGGTCTCTCTGAGCCTCAGATCACGCTGTCTCACCGAGACACAATGGACTGCCAACCGCAGAGACTCAAACTCGATGGCGGATGGTCGTCTGCCGCACAAGTGGTCTCGCGGATGACACGCTCCTCTCCCTGACGAAAAAATCGGCGACTAAGCCGACCGAATGTCGTCTGCCGTCGTGAGCACGTGTTGCGGTGTGACCTGACCAGACCGGTTGGTCTCCTGGCTTGCCAGGTGACCTGGGGTGTTCTAGTAAGGAGGACGCTGCTGCGCTCGTCGCCTGCGCTGGCCACAGCAGTGTGGTCGACAACAGAAGGTGGCCGGCCGTGGGGATTTCCGTAGCAATGCGTCATCAACAGAAGCGTTGTGTTGCATGTATACAGCAGCTGCTTGGGCCACGTCAGCAGCTTGATGGCGATGCTGATGAGCTCACCCAAATCCCCAGCGGTATTCGGATTTAGTTTATGCATTAGATTTACGGATTTGCTACCTGCTTGTTTTTGCAGTTTTGACTGCAAGCAAACAGTAAACTGAAACTTCTGTTTGGTGTGATAGTTCAGGCTTGCAAATTTGCATATAGTTAGATAGTTTACCCGTGCACGTTTAAAAGATTTGTACGGTTTACACTGGAAATTTATTCGTTACAATCCATGCTGGTGTGGGTATTCTGGCTAATGGCTATGGCCGGCCGCGCCGGGCAGCCGCCCGTCGGGTCTTTGAGCCCGCCTGGGCGCGGCTCTGCGGTCGGGCCTGCCTGGCTGGTAAGGTAGTGTCACTCCTCTACCAAGCCGGACCCGGCGAACTGGGCCCTGATCCGCTGCTATGTCGCACTCCTATTCCCCAGATATCATCGCGGCTCAACATCTATAATTTAGTGGGGCTGGGGTATTTTATTCCGACTATCAGGCCATTTATCTTGGCCCGGTGCGATGTTATCGAGGGTTTAATCAGCACCAGTTTGCCAATAGCATGCTTTATGACCCGGCAAAGGGTCGTTTCCCTGTGCGTGTGCCGCGCTCCAAACACGGCGGCCGAGGCCCGGGGGCGGTGTGTGCCCGGCGGTGCAGCATGCCTCCAGGCGGCCCGGCCGCGGAGACTGCATTCGCGAGTGGGGGTCTAACACCAATGCGGCTGCCGGCCCTGCACGCGCCCGGATACGCACTTTTTGTGAATGCCACCAGCTGGGACAGGGTGGGCTTCTTCGATTACGTCACCAGTCATCTATGTATGGGTAGATGCAGACAGAGGAGACAGTCAAAGCTGTCATTTTTGCGGATGGTATGCAAAAGCGTTGCGAGTGGCCGCTCGATGGCCACGGAAGCGGCCGTGGGGTCGGGTGCCGTGCCCGGCCGTGCCACAGGGCGGCGCTCCAGTCCGACAAAGCGTCACAATCCATCGCGGCCCGTGATGCTATCACTACCGCGCGTGATTTGTTATGGCGTCCGTGATTATAAAAGCGAGATGCGCCCAGCGAGCCACTACTAAATCAACTCGTTTTCAAATAGATTACCTGCATGTCCGTCTCGGTAGTGATGACTATCGGGACGGCTGATTCCAATGTTTTATCGCGTATAAAATACCACGATGGAGCCGGCCGATAGGCGGTGCGAGAGGCTCGCCGATCGTATCGCGCTGATCTGTCAATTCCAGCAGGCGACTCCCCGATGCCATTTTAGATAACGGGGCGCGCCGGCGCAAAGCAAGGCGCCTCCGCAACGTTGAAGAATCGCGAGCGAGACGAACTCGGCGAGCCGGCCATCCGGGCTGACAGCTCACACGTGCGGCTGAGCTGCGCGTGCACCGGCTCCGGCGGAGGTCGGCAGGCGCGCCGGCAGTGGGGGCTAGGCGTGAAACGTGCAACATGCAAGGCCTCCAGCAGAGCTGGCGCTGAGCTGCTCAAGGATTTTAGACAAACACCTTCAGCTTTGGAGAAGTGATTTTCTTTTTCGCTCAATGGTGGGTGCTGTGCCATTTATTATGACGTATCTTGTTTCACGTTTGACCGAGTGTTGAATTTTAATTGTAAGGACGAGCAGCTCGGGCATTCCTTGGCTCCCGGACAAGGATTCCATTCCTGAAATAATGTTCGTCATGACATGTGCCGAAGACTCGTTCCGCACTTGTAAATGTTTAAATGTCGTCAATGATAGTCAAAGTTGTTCTTTGGCATTATTTCGCATAACATTTACGTGTCTTATAGTCAAAAGCACCTGCACGTGACTGGTAAATAATTCCTTATGTTGCCCAATCAGAACACCCATTTCCTAACCTAAGCCTCATTCAATCACCATGCATTAATTCATGATTCATTACAACTCTACCGGATTCCGCCGACACCTGTGGCCCATGATGAACACTGCGGCCCATTTTGTTGTCGCTTCCGTCTAGCTCTGACCGCCGTTTCATCGGTGAACTGATGAAGTTGTTAGCTGCCGCTCGGCGTCACGAAACTCTCAGACTGTGCACGACTCCGATCAAATGCCAGTGGGCCACGCTCAAACCGTCCGCGTGGAATGCATGCTAATGCCATCTGCCTGCCGTAGAAAGTTTATCGTCACATGGATGATGGCTAGTGCATCCTTCATTTTTGACGGGCAATGTTTCTCGAAATGCTCGTCTTACCACCGCTCTGGTAATCCGGCACAGTCTTAGCCACTGCGCCGCGACTGCGCTCATTTGCATTGCCAATAATATATCTCCTCTATCGCACCTTGCAATCGGCGCCTGGGCCTGCAAGCAGCCCCCGATTGAAAACCAGATAAGCATTGCCCTAGCAGATGGACGGATCGCATCTGGTATTTATTACCTCACAGCGGGTAGCCTCATAAATCGATGGAAACAGCAATGCTTTTTTAGATACGGATCGCACAATGCGGCCTGGGTGCAGATGGGTTGCAGGTGCCGCGCTGGCCACCAGTGCAGGCTGTGACAGCGGACTCCGCGGGGCGGACTCCGCTGGGCGGACACGCCAGAGGAGCGGCGCGGAGTCCGCCCATATGGAGCAGTCACAGGCGGTCGCTAGTTTCCGGTGTCGCCGCCAGGGGTACCACCGTCGCTCATGGCACTGACGTCCACTAGAGGGCACTGGGCTGAATGATAGGCTGAAGTTGGCCCGATCGCCGTTCGGTTTACCAAGACCAGGGGAGGGGAGGGTAGTTTGGGTCTGGGTGTGAGGCGCCCAAACCACCGGGCGCCGCCGGCTGCTGCGCCAATGCCGGCCCTATCAGCTGCCATCTAAATCTGACGACCAAGGAGACGTTCGGTTTTGCCTCAGCCGGCGCGGATACAATCGGGTTTTACCTGCACCGACCGATACCGGCGCCAGCTCGAGATGTCCATCTGCAGTAACTAATCGAATATTCGATATGCTGGCGAGGATTAGGAGGCAGTGATAGGATCGAATAGTCATCCCAGAAGACGGTAATATCACAACTCGTTCCAAGAGACTGCAGGGATACAGGGTTTCGGAGAACGCTGCCTTATTCAGGATCAGAAAGCCATATCCGTTTGGCCAGATGGCCAGATGGCAGCTGCATAGCGTGATTCAATCGCAGGTTTTCCGTGCATGAACGTCATAAGTTGGGTTTCTGACATGCCTCCGAAGGGCGATGCGGCGCGGAGATAAGTTTGCGGTGGCAGGGTGTAATGCCTGCCATGTTTCTGCCACTGCCAGACTGCCAGAGTCCGGCGGAGCCGGAGCTGGGGCGGTGATGAAGATGCACTTGTCAGCTGGATGATGACCACGGCTTAGCTTCAATTAAGCTCGCAGGAAAACCCTGCCATGATCTTTACTCATGGCACTTGAATCTGAGATAACATCTTAGTTAATTGTGCTGTGATACTGATACTCTGTGCGCAATTTGATAGTATTAAGAATTTCAGCGTCTGCTGGGATTTTTGCTTAAATATCTTGGCTATTTGTGTTTCTGGATCAATTGCTGTTCCAAATGCCTTAGCTGTCGTGATTACTGATAATTTGTATTGAGGCATAGATGTTTTATGAAGGATGCAGCTTGCCATAACCGTTTAAACAGCACAGAGTTTTGGTGTTGGTCTCTGACAAAAATTAAAATGAACAAGTACAATTTGCCTCTACATTTTCAGGCAAATGGGAAAAAGGGAAACCAGTGCCCGGTGTTTTAGACAACTCCAGTTATGGACGTCATATGTCCAGCTCAGTCCGCGCTGAGTCTCATGGCTCAGCTGCGTTCGGTGCTGAGCTCAATATGTCTAAACCCAGTCCAGGCACTCGCTCAGTGTGAGCAGCTGGCTCCGTGTCACCAGTCTTAGCGCTGTCAGTATCACCATGGACGACTGAAGTACTTCCTCTGTCATTTCCGCACCGGCTCAGCCCGGCACCTATCGTCACCTCAGGCGTCCGCTATGGTGTGGTGATAACCTCCTCTGATGGGTCCATCAAGTGGCATGGGCTGAATTAATATTGAAAGGCTGGGTCTCAGTTGATATGGTGAGACTTGATATGAGCTTACCTGGGAAGATCTGAAGTATGTACAAGGAAGCATAGTTAGATCACGGAATATACATATAGTCTACGACATGGAATGGACAGATCGCGATTTAACCACGTTAAACGTGTAACTCGAAAGTAAGCAAGGAGGAGCCCATAGTATAAACGCACACAGTGTTCTCGCGCTACAAAATCAAATATTTATCGCAAAACCACGAAAAAAAAAACTCGACCACCTAAACCAAGACCTAAACAAAATTCGACATTTTTGTGCAGACCAAGGCCACATATAGTGCGCAGACTACTACACAGTGCAGTAGTGATTCAAGGGTAGAATCGACGGTTTATTTAGTGCTGGTAACGGCAATTTACCGTTAATCTTTTCATTCATTTGATTTTTTTTTTGTACTTTTTGATTGTGATTAGGATTATTAATGAGTTTGCGGATTGACGTTTTTTCGCAAATTTGTGAGCTTGAAAAGTGATGTGGCCCAGCGCGGTCCGCTGTGGCTACTGCCAAAAGACGATATCAAAATCGCAAATTTCGAGACACCGGAGAAGGCTGCATCCGTGGTTGCCTACAACCCGGCCCGGCCGGCCCCGCAAAAGCGAATCGCAACCGGCTGATGGTGGTCCTTCGCCAGTGGAGCTGCTGCTTCTGGCTGCAGGCACATTGCCGGGTAAGTTTGTATCGCCTTATTATTAAAAAAAAATAGTGGTTTATAGCATTAAGTTAGTGATTTATGTATTAGTTAGTTATTAATACAATTATTCTAGCCTTCGCGCTATCGTGACCGCCGACCGCCCGTCCAGTCACACGGACAGTTATAGGTACATACTTCTGATCTCCCTGTTCTACGAATTTGTTCTGATCTGTGGTCTTCGCGCATTAGTAACTAACTCATTTTTCTTTCGTCACATATTTCACTGTACCCTTGACGGGGAGCCCCAATGTAAATGTGAATACCAATTGCCTTTTTATACTTAATGTTTTTACTATTGAATATTTATATAATAAGTGTGTCGTAGACTATACATATATTCCGTGGTTAGATCGACAAGAATTTGAGGCGAGAGCTTGGGGCTTAAATTCGCATGGAACAGTCATTTGGTCACAGGGACGCCGGGCTTTGCCTGGCCTGCCTTGCAGTTTGCAGGATCATTTTGGTTTTAAAAACCTGACCTTTATGATACATTCTTAGGCTCAGTAGGCACTACTCTGCTTTCACAGAAGTATTTGCCAACTTTACTACTTATAAGCATATTTTAGCTGCATAGTGCATCATATGGCGACGGATGATTGAGATGGAGATGGGTATCCTCGGAACATCCTAGCACTACCACCTGACTAACGGGATGTTCAACTCCCCCGCAGGGGGTTGGCAGTGGCGTGGGTCGCTGTTGGACTGGGCTCCTTGGGCCCTCGCCCCGCGGCGGCCCTGGCCTCGGCCAGCAAGGGGAGTAGCGCCCCCTCGGCCCCAGCTTGACCCATGCTTGCTTACGATTTGCTTTTGATCACTGGATGGACAGATGGTACGGCCCGACTTTTCTTGGTTTCCGTGGTTTTGTTTCTCTTGAGCGGTCTTTGTTTGCTTTTACTTTGCTTTTCACCGGATGTCCGCGTTTCGTTCGATCACAGCTTTCTGATTCCTTTCCCCTTTTTTCGTTGTTTTTTACACCCGCAGGAACACAGCCGAGTTGGGCTAGTGTAAGGGGAGTGGCGTCCCCTCGGGTACCAGCCGGTTTTACTAGGCTAGGCGAGCCGACCCGTACCCCAGGACAACGGGATCCTGGAGGTTGAGCCCCCCACCGTGCGGAGCCAGTCGCGGTGGCTGGGCAACACGCCTCTTTGGCCCTGAGTTCTGTAAGGGCGGGACACTCAGTGGGGCGCCGCACTTGAGGAGCCATTCCCAGTCGTGATGCCGCCGGGGGTGGTGTCGGAGAGGTGTCGCCGGCGGGGTTCGGGCATTTGTGCTCGTCCTCCGTCGGTGGGACTGATCTGTCGCTGCCCCTGGCGGTGACTCGGCTAGGCGTCAAGGGAGGAGACGGTATCCGACCGTGGGGGGTGGTGAGTCTCTCTCTCCCCCTCGGAAGGTGCCGCCAAGTCCCGTACAGTCAGCTCGGCCGTCCCAGGCCTTGTAGCGGCGCCGTTGCGGAGCGTCGGCGGCCGAGCTGGCGGAGACCAACAGACTCGCATGGATACCTTGACCAACCCCTCCTCCCCCTCTCTCACCAATCCCTCGGCTTCGGCCGATTCTCGGCCGCCGGCCTCGGCCGACGGGCGAACGTTGCACGTTCCAAGACCGAAAAATCCCAGAATCCTCATCTTCCGGAGCGCAGACAGGGAGCTGAGCTCCTTGTCGCCCTTCCAGCGAAAGGACGGTTGTGACCGGTTTGGCAGCATCGTCCGCTGCGACCGCATGCGGGACGGAGCACTTGAGGTGGAGTTCCGTAAGAGCGAAGAGGCGACGAATGCCTTAACTGCCACTCGATTCGTGTACTCGGAAGGACGTGCCTCCGGTCGGAAGCTCGTTTCTTTGCCGCTGACGGTGGAGCCACACCGCTCCAAGAACTCCTCTCGAGGAGTTATAAACTGCTTCGACTTGAGGAACGTGAGTGACGAGGACATAGCGGACGGGCTCTCGGAGTACGGCGTGACAGCCGCCCGCCGCATCCTCACGCGAAGAGGCACGGTCCCGACAAATAACATCATTCTGACATTTGACACCACCGACATGCCGAACGAGGTCCGTGTGGGGTACATCAAGGTCCGCGTGCGCCCATACGTCCCGGCACCCATGCGCTGCTATCGGTGCCAGAGGTTCGGCCACACGAAGGACAACTGCCGGGGTAGACCCACATGCTCCAAGTGCGCTTCTCAGGACCACACTGACGATACGTGCGACTCGGAGACCCCTCGATGCGTCAACTGCGGAGAGGGGCAGAAACCGCACTCCGCGTATGACAGGTCCTGCCCTACATACGTCAAGGAGAAGGAGATTAACACCATCAAGGCTACCAGGAATCTGTCATTCAAAGAGGCCCGGGAGGTATATAACCAAAATCACCCGAAGACCTCGTATGCCCAGAAGGTGAAAGTGACAAACGCTACCGATGCCTCCCAGATGAGCGTGGCACAGCTCGTGCAGCTTCTCAAAAGATTTGGCCTCACTGTCGTAGCCACTGGTGACTCCGCGGACTCTTCGGCGCCTGGTGCGCCGCCGAGTGACACAGCAGACTGCTCAAGAGTCAGTGTGGGGTCCACCCAGTCCCGCTCCAGCTGCGAGCGGTGAAGGAGACGATTGGACCGTCGTCCAGCGCCGACAGGGTGGTCGGCGCCCCCCGGCGCAGGGTAAGGCGCCATCCACCCCGCCCCGCCCCCGACCGCCCACGGCGGTGCAGGAGGCTCTGCGGCGGGGAGAGGAGGAGAGGAGGGCACGAGAGGCGAGGAGGGCTCGCCTCGTTCAAAAGGCCATCGAGGCTAAGGAGGCCTCTGTTGCCGCCTCCGCCTCCGGGAGTGCCAATGCGGCTGTCGCCGCTGACACCCCGGAGACCCCTCAGGCGGGGACTCGGCCCATCATGGGTCCCCCGCCCCCTCCCTCGCTCTCGCAGCAGCGGCGGCCTCCGCCGTCGCTGCCAGACACACCTGTGTCAAGGACACAGGCCGCCGCCCCGACATCCCCGTCGGGGCAGCCTCAGCCCCCTGCGGCTCCGGGGCGCCTTGCCAAACGGCAGACGCCCCCGAGCTGGTCGCCCTCGGAGGGTGACGCTCCTCGGGCGAAAAAGCCCCAGCAGGGCTTGAGTCACGCCCGATCTGCCTCCGCAGAAGGCAGACTCCACCGAGAGGGCTCGGGGCACCCCCGTATCCGCTACGGGGGGAGCGCCTCTTCGGAAAAAGAGGACTTAGTCTAGTCATTTACTCTAGTCATTTCCTCTTTTATCCTTTTATCTTTTTCGCGCTATTGCGCTTTTTTACCAGGTGCGTTTCTCTCGGTGTTTTTTACCTTTTTTGTGGCCAGTCAGGTATCTGCGTGCGCCTTTGCCTCATGTTATACGCGCCCTTTTTGCGCCTTTTTAACCACGCCTTTTATTCTACAGTGGAACTGTAGAGGCCTCCGGGCCAACTACCAGGACCTACAGTCTCTTATCCGTTGGCGCACACCCTTGTTTTAGGTCTCCAGGAGACCAAGCTAGCGCCAAATGTCACCTTTGTCATCAAGGGCTACTCTGTTTTTAGAAGAGACCTAGATACCCCGACCGTTGCCCATGGAGGTGTGCTTCTGGCGGTTCACCATAGCGTACCTGCGCGCCAGGTGCCGCTGCAGACTCCCCTGCAGGCGGTGGCCGCCAGAGTTGATTTCAACCACCGGGAACTGACCGTGTGCTCCTTATACCTACCACCAGGTAGAGCGCTCCCGGTGGTTGAGCTACATCGACTTGTCGATGAACTTCCACCTCCGGTCCTGCTAGTGGGCGATTTTAACGCCCATAGCCTGGCGTGGGGCTGCGACACGACTGGCACTCGTGGTCGACTTTTAGAATCTTTTATCCGCGATGAGGCGCTCTGTATTTTAAATACAGGACAGCGCACCCATTTTACAACACCCTCCGGTCAAACATCGGCTCTGGACCTGAGCTTAGCCAGCCCGCAGCTAGCTCAGCTTTTTAACTGGTTCGTCCATGACGACCCACTCGGGAGCGACCATTTCCCGGTGTGGCTGGAGCACCAGGAGTCCCCAGTAGTAGGCAGCCGTCCACCTAGGTGGAATCTTCGGAAGGCCGACTGGGGCGATTTCCAGACCGCCGTAGAGGCCTCTGTTCTATCCAGAGCCGACACCTCTGTGATATCCACAGAGGAGTTTACGTCCCTACTCATTGATTCCGCAAACGGGTGCATACCCAAGACGTCGAGTCAGCCTCGTCGTCCTCCTGTTCCGTGGTGGACCAAGGAATGCGGAGACGCGATTCGTGCCAGGAAACGCGCTTTTAGAAAGTTTGACCGGAGTGGCACTACTGAGAACCTCATCGCTTTTAAGAAAGCGCGGGCTTTTGCCCGACGCGTTTTAAAAGAGGCAAAGGCTGTTTCATGGCGCACTTACGTAAGTTCCTTAAACCGTTTTACTCCTACGACCCAGATATGGGCACGCATGAAGCGCATTGAAGGCCGGTTCAGCTCTGTTCCGCTTCCGGTTTTAAGAGTGAACAACACGGACATATCTCACCCTTCAGACGTCGCAGAGACGATAGGCCGTGCACTCTATCAGCGCTGCCGAGGAGAGTCCTCACGACCTGCACCAGCCGCCGTGGACTTCAGCACAGCTGAAAATTTCGTGTACAATGAGCCTTTCACCATGGTTGAGCTTACGTCTGCCATCAGCTCGTTGCGCAGCGTCTCAGAAGGTCCGGATGCTGTCCACAACGACATGCTCCGTCATCTCCCCGCAGTAGCCCTCGAGGCGCTGCTAGCAACCTTCAATTCGCTTTGGGAGACTGGCACCTTCCCTGAGACCTGGCGGGAAGCCATTATCATTCCTATCTTGAAGGCTGGCAAGTCGGGACATGACCCTCTCCATTATCGGCCCATCTCTCTCACATCATCGCTATCAAAGCTGATGGAGAAGATGGTCAATGTGCGTCTTAGCTGGTTTCTGGAACATCACGGTGTTTTTACAAACGCCCA